GGTAAGTCTTCTTGTGGCGTTTAAATACCTTAAGCGTCTACATAGAGCGTATGCTAAGGCCTCTGTCTAATTGTTTTCAGAGCCGAGCTAATGTATAGGGATGAAGTACGAATTATCGCTTCATCCATGGATCGCTTTATTATTCCGGGCCGGCTTTACGTCAAACAGTAGTTATCTTATTGCAGAATTACGTATACGCGATACAGAGACATACGCTGTCTTCCCAATCACTTGTGATAGTGACACGTGTCAGACATAGCTCTATTTGATTTCGGCACAATTCTACCTAAAAGTCATGTTTTAATAGATTTGATTAATATAGCCAATTACCTAACGACCATTACAACTTCTTTGTCGTAGCCTTATGTTAGGTCCAGCCAGATGATAGGGGGTCGGCAATAATTTGAGCGGTTGCTTCGCTTGAGCATGTTCACCGATCGAACCTAGGCCTTATTGTACGCTCTCTGTGTCTATATGAACCCCGTTGACATCTTCCGATGAACCCGTTGACTGTTTCAGGTCGCACAAAAATCTTCAGATTAATTAATAATTTTATATCAGTGACCGGGACGTGCTTCCCTTCTTGCTCTACTGACACTTCAGTCAGGATTGATCGTACTGTATCTTCTGATAACACCTCCGCCTCCCAGATCAAAGGAGACTTTAGTGTGTAAAACTGAATTATTGTGGGGCAGTACGCAGCGCTGTTCCCAGCTAGTTTCCGCTTAAAGTCTGTTAGCAGACGTACACGCCCGTTAGAAATATGCGCCGGTCTTCCATTCTTACAATCATATCGGTGACGAAATTGTTGATGGTGAAAGAAAGCAAGTGTTAGTCGACGGACGTGCCGCACACGTTTATATGGATGACTGCGTGTATGCAGTCTCCATACAACACGATATTGTTGTAGGCCACATATGCCATTTCCATAGCATTAACGATGCACACATATATTGATCCACATACAAATTACTGCTAGCACCGTACCGCAGTGATAAAATTCGCGTGACAACAATACGATAACATAAAATTCAAGTTTGCTGGCTTGTTACGGAAACAAACTCCGGAACACGTTCTCTGCTTATTGTTGTGTACCAACAGGAGCTGGCTGAGTAGATACGTCGAAAGCAATGAAACAAATCTGTCAGCAAAACCGAATTTCAATATATAACTGAGAGAGGTGTGTGGGGTGGCGCCTTCCGCCGATCACCTGCAGAGCCCTCATGCACAAACCCTTCCTTCTGTATGTCGCTTGGATGATTTGGTCTCGCACCGATGCAGCCAGCGTTGCATTATACTTTGCCGTGTAGTAACTTCGTATAGTTTTAGAAATGTATTATAGTCGCATACGTAGTCGCAAGCGCCTTTCTGGCTAAACGTGATATGACAGCGGTCGATACCTTTGGCCTTCATTTCCTCATTCACCCCCCAATCCGTCCCCGGCGTAGGATGTAACACTGAGATATCAAAACGTCATCCCGCTGTGGAACTATTTGTCTCCCTTTGCATGTTATTCGGGCAGAGAACTGCAGCTTCGCACACGGGACGCTGTCTAGCTGATATTCCTCGGAGGCGAAGAACATTCGAGTGTCAGTTCGCATTAGATCTACATAGGGCCTGCAGCTAGCTATTAAAGTAGCTGCTATGGGAGTTTTGGGTCTGCATGCCCCAAGCTTGGTCTAGTCGTGGCGCGATGATGAACTTTAACTCTTTTTCACAGATAATTTTAGTCGACTGAATCATCGATGTAGCTGGTTAGTTCATCCGTGCAGGAACGTTGGGAACGAATTGAAGGGTGGGGACGTTGTGTGTAAATCAGGTTTCACTGATCTTCAGCCGTGAAAGTGAATGAAGGAACCAACGGAGTGAGCAACGCAGGATACGTTCGTCAATGGCACACTTCATTGTCTCAAGTGAGTGAAGGCCGTGTGTTGCATGCGCGGCTTAATAGTCTACGTTTATGTCGTTGGGCGTACCTTTCTAAACGCCTCGTATCACTCTGCGCTAAAAGTTCTGTATTTTGCTTACACGTCGTGTATGCTTATAGGACATAAGCTGTTGTTAGCATTTTAAGAGGATCCTGCCTGGGCGTGGTAAAGTAATAAAACTGGAATCGATCCTTTTAAACGTTCCTAAAATCTGTGCGATTACCAAGAACGATGAAGTGATATTGATCCTCGCGAAACGCAGGGTGCGTTTGTAAAGGGCAGTATCTCTATCTGGAAGTGCCGTTTTCGAGATTTCAATACAAACTTCAGTTTCCCTCACAGAAAAGAAAAAAGAAAAAAAAACAAGTAAATTATTTAATTTACTTGTGATTAAAAATAGCATTTAAAGTACCACCCCACTTTTCTATGGAAGACAATATTGCGACAAATTTTACCGTTTTTTAATCAAAAATGCAATCAAAACTCTCGAGAGTTTTCTTGGTTGGTGTCTGGACAAAAGAAGTCACCTAAAGTTAGTACTCCCATTTCTCGTAAACCTCATTGTTTCCGAGAAACTGAAAAAATCCTGATATCTTTATTTTAATATCGTATATAAATTACATTTAAATACCATGGTCTAAAAGTTCACAGTCGCCAACAGCATTTACTATGCGTTGATTCGAAATACCTAGAGAAAAGATGTGATATCAAAAAGAAGCACTGCATAAATAACTATTATATTTTTTTTGCATTCGAAGAGCTACCGGACAAAAAAAAGCAACACGGATCTGCAAATCAGTGAGATTTTCATCAATACATTTATGAGTTTTCAGCGGGGGGGGCTTTAGGGTGTGCTGGCTCCGTAAACACCTAAATGTGAACAGTTGTTTAAAAGGAGACTTGCACTTTCGGTAGCTTATTTTTTTTTTGATTTTGATACTAAATGCGAACGCCACCGCGAAACTTGTCTAACTTCGATCCTTTTGCATACATAGACGTGGTCAAAGAAAACGAGTTCAGGGTTATTGATAGCATTTATTACTACTCTAATATTTGAAACTGTATGATTTGCGTAGTGATACCGGGTTGGCTTGACGGAACAGCCCCGTTGAAAAGGGCAGGACAGGGTCACTCAAAGGACACGCACCATTGTCATGATTTAGTTATGCCTGCAATGATTAGGCAAACTGCCCACAGCTTTGTGCCTAAAATTTGTATTCAAATGACTCCTGATCGAACTTTATGGCGTTCCTGATGATTGACGTGGATTAGAAATCAAGAGCACTTTTTTACATTATGGGAATAGAGAAGACCTTCGTGCACGTCAAAGGCGATGATAGAACAGTGGTTTAGAAGTCCGGGCCGAAAGTCCCCATTAAGTTAGAAATTTAATAAATAGCGAGAAAAACGGATACTTTATAATCGGTTGATTCATCTTCTAAAAACGTTTATTAATATTTAATTTATAATAATAACTATCACAAATTTATCAATTATATATATTAGACTTGTGCTTCGTATAACTGTGTCCTGAAAACTGCTTATATCTGGTTAATTGTCCACGATATACGTAACAAAATTTGAGCCTTCATCCTAGGATCTCCTGTGAGTTTGTTTAGCTTCTGTAGGTCTATGACTTCTGAAAATAAGATTGTCGTTCCGACGTTGAAATGCAGTATAATATATATATATATA